CTAAGGGGGTGGACAGATCACGTGATCTTGGAGGCCATTCCTTTGGTCCTCTTCGGCCAATCCATCTGCAGTTAAATTACGAGTCGAGTGAACTTTGCACCATCAGTGAATTGTGTGGCGGTGCATCGTCATGTTGGAACCAAACTGTAATACCAACTTCAGTTTTTATACACCGGATGGCAAGTATCACATTATCTTGTAACATTTGCAATTATGAAGCGTATTAATCAATTTAATAAGCAAAATTGTTCTTACCTGTTAAGTTTCCTTTGAAAAAGTACGACCGACAATCTTGCTGTGCACAATACCAGCCCATACTAACACCTTGAGACCGTGAAGAGATTTTGATCCAACAAAGTGTCTTAGGTTTGCAACGGCCCAACGAATAGAGCTTGTCACATTCCCGTTCAAGTGAAAAATGGCTTCATGCGTAAAAACCGTTTGTCACACGTTCAAGTGTTTCAGGTACCATGTGTAAAACTGTAGTCGGCGCTCAGGAAAACGGGCCCGAAACTCTTGTAGCCGAGCTTCTTTGAAGGGACGAGAGCTTTTCTTTCTTTTGAAATTTTGAGCACGGAATACCGTGCATGTTGCATTCCTGGGCAGTTCGCTTTGTGGTCGTCTGACGATTTTGATGTACACATTGAATATACCACATTGATTCGTCTTTCTTCGTGGAGGTCCCTTACGTTTCCTATCGTGCACGCTCCAGGTAAATTTGAATTTAGTTAATCAGCGCTCTGGCACCGTTTCTCGTAACACTCGTTGCACAGGTGTTGTTGTATTCCTTTACCATCAGTGAAAGGTTTTCTTTGTTCCTGTCAATCAACGCCAAACGATCATCGATCGACAGCCGACGAGTACATGAGAAAGCCATGACAACAACCAATGAAATCCCCCTTTGTCCGTTCTTAATCCTGTTCTTATATACCAGAATAAATTGCCGTCGTTCAACGAAATGGCGATCGCTTCGACTGTGGACAGTAAGTGATGCTTGACCTGCTTCGATCTCACCCCAGTGATCGAGCGAACCGTTTATTCCTAAAACCCGAGAACGATCAAGGAGCTTAAATAGAGGATTTTGGCGCAGTACGAAAGTATTCCAATTGCTACCATTCTGAAGGTGGAAAAAAACTATCTTCCCCGGATTTTGCAATACAAGCAGCAGAATGGAAAACGTGTGGAACAACTTTATGACATGAATATAATTTTTTCCGTAATATTTGTTCTTTCCTTCTTTCGGAATCCTATCTCCGATGTAGTTAGCGGGATTGTTCAACGCGAAAACAACCAGTTGGGAAAAACTAGAAGAGTTTCACGTGGGCCTACATTAGTGGATATTGTTGTCCGTTATTAAGACAAGTTCAACGTTTTATTATCATTATCTGTTTACCGAACCCGCCTCGAAAAATAGTGCGTCTATCTTAAACGAGTCAAGCGTTGGCCCAGTGTCATCATCGCTTGAGCATTTCCCATTCGGAATTTCCCATATGGCGCACCGCTCCACAACTGATTCTCTTGGGGTGATTCTCTACCAACACTTGGGCAGCATCGGATTTGGAACCTATCCTCCTCCTGTGCCGGCCGAAAATCACACGACCAATCGGGTTCATTTATCGATCGGTCGAATGGTTCAGCCGCAACAAGGGACCTGGTGCTTACCCAGCTAACCCAAGCGAAAAACCACACCTTGAATTTTAGGCAGGCCCAGTGAACTTCGACTGTGCAGCAGGCGTGCCATCGGCACTCGGTTGGACTGGACGTAACAACAAGAGTATTACAAAACGTATAAGTCGGTAATCAGACAGTCTCGTGTTGTGGAATATGATGCAATCAGATCACAGAAAGGGCCAAAGAGAATTTACTTGTTTAAGGTCACGGATGAGAGGGATGATGGTAAATGATGGAACAATCGCATTGTGTTTGTCCTAAAGAAATTCAGGTCTAATCACTTAGTGGGGTTCCCGATAGAATGTGGTTTTTGGGATTCGCTTGGGGTTACAAGGGTTTCGCTTGAAGTTGGAAAGGTGTAATCCTTGTGGCTAACCTTGCTTTGCCACGTGAACACTGCTACCGTGGTTTCGATCAATAAGCATCTTTTCCCCCTGCTTCCGTATGTTCAACCGTGTGCAATTTGTGACCTTTGTTCTGGTCATCATTTGGCTTGATGAAATTTTCGTGGCGTTTAAAGATTTATGATTGCTGTGATCAAACTTTTCCTTGAATGTTCTTACATAGCTGAAAAGAGAACGCGAAGCAGTTGAATTCAATCTGCACTGTGATGATGATTCTACTCGCTCTTATGAAATTACTAAGGGGAACTGGATTTCATACGAACACAAACATACATGTCTGCTACTAGATTTGTATGATTGAAGTTGGGATTCCTCTTTACGTTTTGTTAGTCATAGTTAATGATATGAGTACAAATTACGGCAATTGAGGTTGTCTGCTACGATGCTGTTGTTGCGCATCATTTACACATTTTACTTGATTCGTGGTGGTGGTGGTGGTGGTGGAGATATTTTCAATAAAGTTACCCGTTTGCCACAGGTGTAATTTATTGTTTTGTCTGATAGACGAATAAGTGGAAAAATTATTTAAAATATTCTTTGTTAAATGGTGTAACCGAATAATCCGAAGAGAGGTTCAAATCAACGTTTGTCATTTCCAGGAGACTTGAATATTGCAGCTACTCTAATATTAGTTTAGACGAACTCGTTGTAGACATCTGAATATTTGGATGTGTCCTTCGATGATATCGCTTCATAAACAGTATCTTATCATCTTTATGGCAAGTTCTGCAAGCCATAAGTGTCCCCTAAGATGAGAGACGTTGACCGTGCATAAAGCCTAAATGTGCCTAACAGAAAGGGACTTCATCTCAACTGGCTACCACAATTAGTCAGGTGCTGAATACGGTTCTCTGAATATTGTTCTGTCTTTTACACCACACGTCGTACAATTATTTCCAGCCTCTCGGTTGCGCTTCGTTTGTTTTGTACATGACGAAGTTCCCTACATTAGGTAAAGGTGGAGAAGTTGATTCATATTAGCTTATCCTGTTTTCACCATTACTAGCGAAGATAGAAGAAGATAACCTGTTTCGTATTTGCTCTGGTAATTAATCGCTTTATCTTTCCTTACACTCCACTTCTCACCCGGGCATACATCGTTTCGCCATCCACTCTAGGTGTATCGCTCGATAAAGGGGGCTATCCGAAACTGGAGGAGTCAATCAACAAACAGCTTGAAGAGGCCCAACTGATCAGTCATCCACCGTGGTTTCTTAAAGTGATCCAGTTGTACGAAACCCAAAGAGTAAGGCATGGGATGATGATCCTCGGTCCATCTGGTACCGGCAAGACTGCATGTATACACACTCTGATGAAGGTTCGTGATTTTAATGTTTTGGTTTGTTTTGACCAATCCGTCGTTTTCTTACGCGGTTGTCCTGTTTCTAGGGCTAAGAGACCTCAGGCATAAACCTACGCGTTCATCCCGATCGATTGGACCGATGTGTCATCTAACTAGGACATGACCACCACAATTTCTGTTTACTTGTTGGAATAATGTAGAGTTTTTTCGATTAACCTCACTGTTTCTGCAGGCGAGATCAATAATGCTCGATAATTTGTCTGAAAGATAGGTTACAATAGAAGAGCAGAACCGCACAATCAAAAAGTAACTAAAGATCAAATAAAGATTACTATTTGTTTGCGGGATATTCATGCAAAAACTCTTTCTTGGCTATCTTTTGAAGAACAAGTGTTAGTGTTGTGACCGACAATTGACTGATAACTTTGTTATGCATACCTATGCCCGAATTGATGCTGTCTGCCAGCAAACACGCATGCACTCAAGGCCATGCGGACTGACTCTACTACAATATCGATCGACTCCAGCCCATCAGACATTAGTACTGGACTGTTGATTAGTGGACTGTTTGAATGGAAAGATGTCGTGTGACGCTTGAACCAGTTTTCGACCTGCCTGCCTGCCAGCGTGGTGACATACTGCTTGCTCACCGGCTACACGTGTGCCTACAACAATAAATCTACTTTCTAATTGATTGCTTGCTTATTTACCTACTTAACCGTGACATAACAGTTGGGAAGAAGGATAATCAGTTGAGTAAGATAAGTCATAACCTTGTTGTTCTCAAGGTTAATTATCACTCGGATTTATCAGTATGCGGGTAACTAGGTGGATGGATATGGTCACAAGTCAATTTGAACTGCAACCATAATTGCCTGTTGTTACACTCCCCTTTATCGACGAACAAATATGACAGGATGGTGTAACAGACTGCTGATGAGCTGGCATTTTAAGAAACCGAAAGATACCTTTTGTGTGTCCTAAGATAATAACTGAGTATAACTAGCGAAATCACTAAACCCATACTGGATCCCAGTCGAAGATTGTGAATGTTCTGTACAACGTCTTATCTGAATTGGTTATGAAGCGACAATCACATAAATCGTAGCTATAATATGTTATACTTGGCTAATTTGTTCATTAAGCTTTATACCAACGGGTACATTCAGAAGCCACCTCTACGATGTGACCTTCAAATGTATTGACTGTTTCTCGCCCTCGATCTCTCGATGTGAGCCATACTGTACAAGTGGGAATGATTATGCGCTGACTTCACTCTTTTTTATTCAGAGGGATTTATTCAGTCACCAGATAATCTGCTGCAAAACAGTTTATAATTCAAGAGCTACTTGTGCACTCTGCAGCTTATTTTCCCATTCACTCTTTCGAAATACGTTCAACATGTTCAAAGTAGTTAGTGAATTACTTCACCGCCTAACGTGAATTGTTTCAGCATTCACTACAATTCAGACAATGAAATAAATTTTAACATGGTTTTACACAACTTGTATGCTTTCCACGTTCCACTCTCAGGTAACCCTCCGGCTGACAACGAGCTAATCACTTCTATCTGGAAATTTTCGAATAAACATCAAACCTCCAAAACTGTTTATTCTAAGTAATGGTAAAGACTGACAGTTTCATTGCTACTTCACTCGTTCAAATATACCCACTCATCAGTTTGCTCTTATCTCCTTGTTTTCCCCTTTCAAATTTATTCAGTGCATGACCGAATGCTTTGAACCACATCGTGAAATGCGTATGAATCCCAAAGCAATCACTGCAGCACAAATGTTTGGTCGATTGGATGTATCCACAAACGATTGGACGGACGGTATATTCTCCACTTTGTGGCGTCGAACTCTCAAGGCGAAAAAAGGGGAACACATTTGGCTTGTGCTGGACGGCCCGGTAGATGCCCTTTGGATTGAGAATTTGAATTCCGTATTGGATGATAGTAAGCTACTAACTCTAGCTAACGGGGATCGTATTCCCATGTCTCCGAGTTGCAAGATCATGTTCGAGGTGGACAATATTGACAATGCCACACCGGCCACGGTCTCACGGAACGGTGAGTTATCAAATCATGGACACGCGGTACTCGAATACTCTCCGCATACTTGGACTAAACAGACATTGATCAGATTTTCTGATTTAGCGTTTCTGGTTAGTGTTTTTGAGAAAAACGGATAAATTAGGATTCATATTGGGTGCTTGAGGAAGTCATTTTTTCAAGTTTTGAACAAAATAACTGGAAGCAACATTACTATGAATCAAGACTATGCTTTATCGTAATGTGAAATCCATCGTTATGAACAACTACACCTTTTCCCTCAAGCTTTAACCAAAATCCGCAATCCTTTAGCCTTGACCTGCATTCCTTTATCCAAAACCCGCAATGCTT